TTCTCCTATTTAATTCTATTTATCTGTATCTTTTGACACTAAAATCATAAATACCACTGAATGTATACAAGTGAACTATAAAAAAAGTGGAACTGGTTGGTGCAGATGTAGAAAATAATAGAATTTTCATCAAGTCTGAGAATTCAAAGGAATTGGTTTGTCTGCTTATGCATTATGAATAACTGAAGGAGACTGAACATTCAATAGGGATTTCCTAAAGGAGAATAATAAAGGCATCTATTCATTGCAAACAGAATTAACATTCAAATGAAAAATATTTAACAACTGTTGAGATTTCTCAATGTTACTAAAATGGTCCTGACAAGGTTTGCTGTAGCAATCTACATGACTTAGAAAGTGTTAGGAAATTAAAAAACAAAACAAAATCTATGCAGTTTTATATATGTAAATAGTAGAACATAGACAATGATCCACCAGTGCATCATACTGTTTGCAGTACTTGACTTGGTAAGTGCTAAAGATCTGTTGTGAATAAGCCTAACTATTATGAGGAATGGCAAAGAGCCAAGGCAACAAAATGTGTTTCATATCGCACTGGTTTTCAAAATTTATGGTTGGCTGGGTGTTTTTTAAAACATATAGATTTAATGTGAATGTTTGGTTATCTTTTTTTTACCTGTGAAGGATAAAAGTGCTAAGGTCAACAATGAGACATGGATAGTTGGTTGACCAGAAACACTATCATTGTTTGACATATGGGAATTGCAAATGAGCCATTATAGTCACTGACAAACACTGATATAAACATTTCATATCTGCACTCAATTACCACTAGTTCCTCTTTATTGGTTTGACGACTGGACAAAATCAGGTGATGTCCCATAACACAAAGGGTTCCCTCTACAGGTTTCCGGAAGGGTCTCCTAAGGATGACATTGTCCACTTGAGGAGTTTTTATAAACTCTGCAAACTCCATCTGTCCCTAGTCAGAATGGAAACAGTATATTGGTACAACAGATTGAAACAACATTACTCTAAAAATATAAAAGACAAAAAAATAAATACATGGAATGATGTATCAAAATAATACAAAAAATGAATACCTAGATAGAATGATGTATCAAATACAAAAAAAAAAATGATTTCCTGGATACAATGTATAAAAAAATACAAACAATGAATACCTAGATAGACTGATGTATCAAATACAAAAATGAATACCTAGATAGAATGATGAATCAAATACAAAAATAAATACCTGGATACAATGTATCAAATAATACAATGAATACCTATATAATAGGAAGGATATATTACCATACCTTCAAGAACAATAAAGCTATTGCAATGTGATCTATTTATAAATTTCCCTACAAAAATAAATTAAATCAGTCTTGATCTCTGCTTGAGTACTTTCTAAATGTTTCCAAGCTGCATCCAAAATGATACAAGCCAATAATGTTTTTATACAAAATTCATGTATACTGATATTGTTTCTGTTTAATTGTAATAGGTATAAAACAAACACAATGTGAATAAATGCTGGTATCAAATGCTAGGATGGCAGCAAGATTAAAATGTTAGAACTTTCAATTTTAGAAAAATGTTCACATTACAATCCATAATGTCACCATAGCATTCGATACATACCTGTAAATACTGAGTTTGAATTCTATGACTGTCACATGGTAAAACTATGAATACTACACTGATTAAATAATGTCATGAAACTATTTTTACAAGATAAAATGTTTAACTTGTTTTTTATTTCAGATTGCATCATTTAAAAAGTTTTGCATAAATTTCCAGAACAGAAATATGTTGTTAAAGTTCTGATAGATCTAATATCAGTTGATGACATTGTCACATTCAAAATAGTAGAGCCATGTTCAGAACGATTAATAGATCCCAATGCATATTTACTGCGGGGTAGAAATGGGCTACTTCATATAATGATCGCTGTTTGGAGTGTGTGACCGTAATGGATTCATGCTATGGTCGTCCGAGAGTGATGCATTGGCACATTACTGTTTTTTGAATGGATATATGTAGTTTTTCAGTCTTTGTGCGATTATGAAGGGATAAAAGAAGAGTGAGAAAATTCGAATCTAGCTGAGGGTTGTGGTCACGCTTGCATTTCTTATGTTAATTTATAATACCGTTAAGGTGATTTCATGTTGTCAGAAATTTCATCATACTTTATTGATAAAACTGCAGACTCCTGTGCTGTAGGTTACTTTTTATATTTATTTTCTAGGTTCTTCCCGACGGTTTTCGTCATTAAATTGGAGCAACTTTTCTCTTGAGCCACAAAGGCTACTTCAGATTGCCCGTTACGTGTTTAATAATTGGGCATAGTCTTTATATTAACATGGTAACAATTACTTTCAGCTACTGTCTAACCTACATCTATGCCGGTAAAAGTGTAAGCAAATTATATTTGTAAGACAAAGATTATCAAATAAATATTGTTTAAAATAAACATGTATGCGTGTGCTCTCAGTATTATAACTTAGGCTGTAGACCTTTTAAGGATACAATCGAGTGCAAAAATATACCTAAACAATTTGTGTGAGTGTACAGAACGACCCGCTCACACTTCTCCCAAAATTCGAGTACAAATACACTATAACACTTTGCTGTAAAAAGGACTTCCTTATAGAATAGTTTCATCTGGAAAATAGATAGTCATACACAGAAAACCAAAATATTTCTAAATAATCTATAGAAATCGATAAAAGTAATACGTACAAAAGACTTTTTCAAATTCAGTCTCTGCGGTAAAATTCACCGGAAGTGCAGACAATCGATAAATCTAAATAAAGATCAGTTCATTCGGACGCGGACTTTAATCTCAAACTAAAATGCAGTCTTGGAAAGATTGTCTACACCAATGTTTTGCATCCACTTAATACAATTTAACATTGTTAATCATCACTGTGAAAGAGAGTTATGTTTATCATTCATTAATACAGTTCTTAAAAAATGCCGGTTTAAGTCCGCTAAATTTGATAAAATCAAGGTGATATCTTACTAAAGTTCATTTTCTCGGAACTCCAGAAAGCAAATACAATTATACAACTAATTTCTTACAGTTCATAACTTATTGAATAATATATTGAAGATGAGTAAAGTCTAAAATTGAGTTATTATGAGACCCAAACCTAATCTGATCTGCAATGTTCTTGCTTCTGTACACTAGAGTAGCGCATATTTGCCTGTATACCAGTTTCCCGAAGAGTACTTTTTTCTTCCCCGGTGGTGCCTACAGCGGTACGTTTTCTTTGTACTGTCAGGTCAGTAGTATCTGCCTGTAAAACTCTACTGAAAATCTCAAGATATCTTGCTACCACTGTATTGATATTAACAGTGTGTTTTCATTATTCATGTCAAAATAGTTTAATTTTGTTTTTAGTTTGTATCTGTGAAAAATTAATGGAGAATACTGCATAGAATATTTTTGAACATTTAATTAAATGATTGACAGGTGTCATCGCCAAATGAAATCTTCTGAAACATGATACTTTTGGAAAAAAAATTAGGATTAAAACCAACTATGTGAAAAAGACAAATACACGTTATGTTTTATTTATTTATTTACAATTGTATCTGAATGTGTTAATCACATGTATCCCTTTTTAAGACTGAGAATCAACCCCACAGATTTTTAGCGATAGCAGTAGTGAATTTATAAATTGTATGTTTTGATATGAACAATATAATTTGATTAATAAGTTTCCATGATGCCTGCTATCCAATTTTTTGTAGATTATGTACATTGCTTAGTGCAATCTATCCCGTAAGGAAGTTCTGTGCAAAGCTACATTATTTAAACCGCTCAAGGAAGGCAGTTCTGAGTAGATATCACACAATCTAAACCTATCCAGCAAGGCAGTTCTGTGTAGCTGCTATTTAAAACTACATAGTATGAGATGCTACATTATATAAACATTTACAGTAAAGTATTCTGTGTAGACGCTACACTATTTAAATCAATGCAGTAAAGTAATTCTTTGTATATAGTACAGTTTTTCAACCTATGCAGTAAAGTAATTCTGTGTAGCTGTTACACTATTTAAACCTTAGCAGTAATGTAATTCTATGTAGACGTTAAACTAGTTAAACCCATGCAGTAAAGTAATAGATGCTACACTATTTAAACCTATGCAGCAAGGGCATTTCATACAGATGCTACACTATTCATGCCCATCTAGTGTGCCTCACTAATGTATCTAGATGATGTAAAACCTTTCTCGTATTTGACTTTCAATAAGGTTTTGGTAACTCCTTTGTACTGAAAGCTGTATGTATGATTAAAAATTCAAACGGTTTTGTCCAGATAATGTGTCTAGCTTATAAAATATTTGCGTGAATTGTTGGTATACATTCATTTCACGAAATTTGACAAAAGTCTAAATGTTCTGATAATGACATTGACGCGGTTCTCGTTGCCATTTATGGTTCTCATAAACTCGTAAGAAAAGCTTGTATCATTTATAAAAAAAATTGATAATAGCATTTCTGAATAATGATGAAAGTTTTCTTCATATATTTTATTATTGTCTCATTCATTGCTTCTACATTGCCACTTAATACAATGCTAGGATATTGTTTATAATGCAATCTACATGCAAAGTCTTTTTTGTTGTTTCGCTGTTCGATTTTGTATGTATTTTTCTTTTTCTTCTTTGATTTAGTGATGAATATGTAGTGTACAAAATATAAAACACAAAATAAACTTCTTTCTTCTGCCCTTTCTACCTTTCTCTACCCCTTAAAGGCTTAAAATATCTCACAAATGACATTACGGTTTTTCAATCCCGCATAAAGTGCTAAGATACTTATGTATGAACACACACACCCCACTCAATATTTAGGTGCCAAGGCATCCTTAATTTAAAACCTAAAATTTACTTATTAAAACTCCTCCCAAGCTGTAAGGTACATGGCTGGAGAGAAAACATAACTCTTATTTCAAGTGCTCAGACACGTTCAATTTAAAACTTAAATATAATAAACAAAGCCCTAATAACACCACAGCTTCGGTGGCCTAGTGGTTCTAGCGTCCGCCTCGGATGCGGGAGGTTGCGGCTTCAATCCCCGGCCGAGACATACCAAAGACTTTAGAAAATTAACAGCTGCCTCGCTTGGCGCTCAGCATTAAGAGGTTAGTGTTAGGAATGGTTTGCTTGGTGTCAGGATCTTTTGACTGGGTGGGACATCATGCTGCATGTATGTGGCATGATGCCCCAGTGCTATACATCACTATAAACTGTCACACTGCGGACATCGTAGCGATATGACTTAAAGAGTGTTAAAGCTACGTTAAAACTCTAAATCACAAACACTCACACATACCTAATAACACCCACACTCACACACACACACACACACACACACACACAAACACACACACACACACAATAAAACAGATAACCAAAAAAAAGAAAGCACTAATGTGCAAAAATAACCCTTCTACCACAACTTCTCAATAATATATCAATGCATATAGAAAAACTATACAATACAACAACAAAAAGTACAGAACGTGCACACACCAAACAAATGCATGAGTGCACCTATACGTCTTTTAATTTACTTATTAATTTAATTTGTTTGGCTTACTCAAAACAAACAATTCCACATTTAATTTATTTACTTAGGTGTAGATAAGAAAAAGAACTATATCTGATTTGATCTAGACATTGCCGTCCAAACACCTCAAGGGAACACTTACAACAATGCACACACTATTAACACAACATAAGACATCGTGACTCGGGAAGAGTCACCTCGCGAAATAACTTTGATTGGGATTAAATGAGAGAAAACCAGTCCTGGAAACTAATAGTTTTAAGGGAATACAATCCTAAGTTCAAGCAAGGGAAGATTGAAACCAGGTCCACTCTCACCAAGCGATACAAATACTCGAGACTTTAATAGACAAACGTAGAGCCACCCTACTAAATTATATACGAAATTTATATAATTTAAATAAAACACGTACACCATAACACTAAATGGTAGACATGGGAAACCCACACCAAAACAAACATTTCGGAACACATAAGGTATCACTGCTAAGTCCTAACCAATAATATATGCTAGAACGGGACTAAATAGTGTCAAAGGTGCCTGATGAATCGTTTGCTTCAAGGACGACATTGGTTCAATATGACACGATAAATAGATTTGTAATATAGTTATTGTAACAGTTTTGATTATATGAACTCTGTATATTTCCCTGAAATTTATGTTGATGTATTTTGGTACCTTTAATAGGTTATCAACCTGCATATTCTTTTATGAGCCTTTCATTCTTTCCATACTCATGTCTGTCTTTTTGTCTGTTTATCTGTCCGTTTTCTGCTTTTGCTCTACACACTGATTGTTTTCTTTTTAGCTTTAGTTGGTGAACTGTTTTGGCGTAGTAACTCATTGCTATTGAATATTCTTTAAATTGGATCAATGTGTACATGTAAAACAATAGCGCACTGATGACGGTCTTGTTATTTATAATTGTAGTATTGTCTTTGCAGTGTGTAACAAAACAGGAGAAATGTATGAATCACCATTTATCAACCTCATGCACAAAATCAATTTATTGTAACAAATACTGGACATGATTTGTCTATTATCTGAGTAGAAGGCAAGTGCTGTACTATTTTGCGACACCGTTTTACTTATTGTTTTGAAGCCTAGGTTGTGCATATGTGCATAGTGTAAAGAGGACTGGACCCAAGTGGATTATACATTACAAAACAAGCGGATATGCATTTCCCATCAATATCACGTTGTCAGTGGATGTTTACGTGATAGTATTCCAGCCATATATATTTATGAAAACAAACTTCATAACAGAAGAATACACATGGAACTCAGGCCGTGTTTATTTTCTGAACTTTGTGGTAAATATACTTCAACTGCAATAACTTATTACCTAACAGATCCATTTGCCTTATACACTATATATATATATATATATATATATATATATATATATATATATATATATATATATATATATATATATATATATATATATATATATATATATATATATATATATATATATATATATATATATATATATATATATATATATATATGAGACAGGAAGAGTGAAACATTGTATGGAGTATGGAGATACTGAGCTTCATGCTCACAAGAAGTCACGCATCCACAGGACCAGTTATCTTGTTCCATCCAACGTTCATTGAGAAAAGCTTGACTGATTGCTATTATATTATGCCCTTCAGCATCCATTAAGGAGTTATTATCAAAGATAGAGCGCGTACGGCAATGTAGATTTGAAAGAGACTTTATTAGCCAACTTCTACAGTGCTCGCCAAGAAGAGGACTAAGATATTTCTACATGGAGTTGTAGGATGGTGATTTTGTTGAATAAAGCCGTCCAAAGAGGGTTAGTGAAGTCCAGTGAGACACATCATATGCTAAGGGCTATTTTGTGCACAGGACTTAAACAGACACCTAAAGATGTAAGTTTGACTCACTCAAGACATTGACGCTTTTCGTCGTATTTAATCTGAACACAGGTAACGGGAAGATGAGCTAAAAATCATCGTTTCATGCATATAATTGCACGTGAGTCTACAGATATATTGCCATTCTTTCTGATGTTTGCAAGACTGGTTAACAACCGTCCGTGTTCTCCAGTCGCTGCACATAAACGGAGTTTTCAATAGTATTCCTGAAACCATTTCCAACGCCAAAATTTGAACATGGCATTGAGAAATGTGTTGCAGGATCATATATTTTGTAATCTTATTTATTTATATTTCAATTAGGCAGAAGTGGGTATTTTATTATTTTATGTAATTTATGTTCACTGATGAGTGAATTTAATTCACAGTTGCAATTGATGTTATTCTCATTTTACATATATTGAGCCAATTATAGATCTGATTAAAATCATCTAGTTGACTGACAGTCCATGTCCAACGAGGTTTCAGTGTTTCTGTACTTACATAATGCAAAAAAGCTTTGTTAATTATATAATTGGTTGGCGGTCGATAGGTACGGGTAAATGTTACAGTTGGACGACCACACAGATGTTTCCTGTGGGTATGAAGTAAATTTGATGATGAAAATAAAATATAATTATATATTACACACGGGGATTACAGACACGATAAATGGATGACAACTGATGGAAAATATCTCTTGTTCAAGTATCGGACGTAGATGGCCGATAATGATCACAGAAAGTGTGTATGGTATTAAATGTTCACGTATGGTCTGATCCACAATTTCATCGAATTCCTCTAAATCGCCATAGCTAACAGTAATGCTTGTAAATCCGATAAAATCTCATAAAAATGTTATTCACTCTTTTAATTGCACAGTCATTTAATGTCCGCATTGCTTTTTGTTGTGTGGAATGGATGAGGAACGAGTCAGTCCATTTTTTTTTCTTCAAATAAAACCCCCAAACAAGCAAGTGAACCAAATATTTATTCGAGATCTTCCTATTATTATTATTATTATTATTATTATTATTATTATTATTATTATTATTATTATTATTATTATTATTATTATTATTATTATTATTGACATCTGTAAAGCTCCATGACATAGTGTTTGTAGTTCAAACAAAATCTCATTAAAATGTTATTCAGCCTTTTTAATCGAACAAACCTTTAATATCCACATTTATTTACTTTTGTATGCAATGGGTGGCGAATGATTCAGGACATTTCCTATTTCCAAAAGGAAAGAAAGAAACAAACCATTTTTTTTCCTTCATCATCTTCGTCTCGTAACTGTCCTTTATATTATCATTATTTGCTTCTATAAAACTTCAGCCCTGGTTATCTAGTTTGCACATCGATAATAATATCCCTGATCGATAATATCATCACTCATCGATACTAAAAATCGTTCATGTATAAATGTCTTACTGATTATTATAGACCGACTACGAAAATTAATTTCAATTACAAAATAGATAAATTAAAGTTCAATCAGATGATATCTTTGGTGTTTTGTTTCCTGCATAAAGCCAAACCAGTTTTGTTTCCTGCATAAAGCCAAACCAGTACCTAGTTTTTCCATGAATTCTGTTAGAAACTACAACTAAACAACATACATCATGTTTACATTACATTAAATAATGACGTTTGTGTCTTTCATATATGCTTAAATGCAAAATGTAAACACAGATTTATTGAATAATTAACGTCGCATGAAATTTAATAGCATCTTCCACTCCGTCCGTCTGTCCATTTGCAACAAATTCGATAAAAGTAAGAGTACTCATATTTTCCTAATGCCCAAAATTAAATTGATGTTGAAAGGAAAAGTTATATATAGTGTCAGTCAAAAGTTCGAGGTTGCAAAACCTAGCAAGATAACCAGTGTTGACCGGGGTAAAGACTTTTGTCTAATTATTTCAGCACTATATATCCTTTCAGGTGTTGATATGCCTCTGAAGCACGGCGACTGCGACCATGTCGGTGACCCTGCAACTAGCTGTGACCAAGTCGGCGGCACCCAAGGAGCCAGAGATAAGCCGGTATCCCACTGAGGTGGAAATCTGTCACACTCTGGAGTGCCATTCTTCAGACAGTTTAAGCGGGATATCACTCCAACTATAAGACCTATGATAAAGAACCCGACATAGCGAGACTCGGGGCAGTGTAGCCGAGAGAGCAGTTCCGCTACAAATTGGTGGCAGCGGTGGGATAGATCGAGGAGTAGAAGACATAATCAAGATGGCTTACAGAGGGTCACATGTAGGCGACTGGATGCTTACCCCCGAGACGAAGGTAAAGACGGCGATTCCTTTCGAAGACGAGTTTCGACGCTTGACAAAGGAATGCGAAGACTTAGAGAAAAGACTAACTACAAGGAAGGGGACTATGTCTATGAGTGCGGTGACGACCAAGAAGGCAGGAGAGTTCTCGAGAGAAAGAATTGTCCCCAGACGACAGATTTACTTTAGTGGACAGGCGATTTCGAAACCCTCCAAGTCACTGGAGACCAAGAATATAGCCGATACTACAGCGACAAAGGATGCTGTACGTACAGCTCTCAAAGACAGAAAGAGATTTGAGAGCAAGGGAACGGTTACGGAAGGAAGCGATGAG